TGCTTTATCAAAATTGGAACTCCTTCTCCAAGGGAGTCTGGTCTGACCTCGGGACCACCTAAAACCTGGTGTGGAGCTCCTTCCCAAGGCCAACTGTCCTTCCCAGGGCTGGAGTTCCTGGGTTTTGGCACCAAATTGTTATGAATGAAGTCCCTATATGTCTATATTAATAAGCCACAAAATAAAATTTAGCACCAATTTCATTGAACAGCAATTCTATATAAAATAATACAATTAAAAATAATCAAGCAGATGGAAAGAAAAAAAATTGGCAGTGGTTTGGACAAAGCATAAGAAAAATTGATTGGGGTATGGGGAGGGTTTTTCTCACCCTGCCTGATGTACAAAGGACAAAAGGATCCAAACACAACTTATATACTGTATGCTAACACATATTCATCCATATTTTCCTGTAAATCTCCTCCTGTTTTTGGTTCTTTAAATCTGTGTCACTGCACTGCCCAGCGCATGCTCCGCCTGTTGCTGAGGGGTCTTTTGGCTTTTCGGGGGTGTCTTCAGAGGAAGGCTCACTGTCTTCCTTGCTGTCCTCTGAAAAACCTGGCAGGTTGGGCATGTGCATTAACCTTTGTGTTATGTAAGTAAGCATTCTGTTCGAACAAAGCCGTATTATTTTATAGATAAGACTACTATTGCAGATTCCACATTTGGAATCGTGCCAAATTTGCTCATCCCGAGATTGATTCTGTTTTAAGATATTGCTTATCTCAATACTCCATCCTGTATCCTACGTTCTCATGAACATCTGAGAACATCTTTTCTGACACTAGTGGCACATCCATGCGATCTCCTCTCCTGGCGGCGGCCAGGGAGCTCCTCGCCGCTTTCCCCGCACGCTGAATGGGCCAAAGCGGCGTCTCCCGTTTCCCTGCTGTGCAGAAATGCGGTGACAGCAGCAGCCGTGCCCGCTGTGTCTGCCCGGGAGCGGAGCGGCGGCGGCACCGGAGCCCGGCGAGGCGGCGGCGGAGCTCGGAGGCGGCTCCAGCCCGGGTGGGACCGCGGTCGGTGCTGCCCCAGCTCGGGGCTCGCTGCGGGCGGAGGGGCCGCGGTGAGGGCCGGGGGGTTCTGGCGAGAAAGGACCTTCTCCACACTGGGCAGTGCCAGCTTCACCTCTGAGCCCAGCACAGCGCTGTCCTTCCTCAGCTGCGCCCTGTGCCTTGCACTTCCTCTCAGGGTCACCTCAGTGCCTCTGCATCCCCAGTGCCAGCGCTGGGCTGGGGCTGCAAAGGAAAAGTCTCTGCAATCCATCCTGCCGCGGATGCTGCCTGCAGTGAGTGCATTGACACAAGGAGCTCCAATGAGAAATCCAGATCTCCCTCGGCTCCGGGAAATCATCACAAAGTGGCCGGAACGTGGCACTATTGGACTGCCCTTGGAAGAGGAGGAAGAACCGCTGACACGTGCTGAGGAGGAATCCCTCTTGAGGCATCAGGCACCTGAGTGTGAAGAAGGGTCGGTCTGTCTGTCTGTCTGTCTGTCTGCCAGCTGCTGGCTCTTTATCTGTGTCGCCTTCGGAGGAGGACGGTCGGAGCTGCTGCTTGGGGAAGGGAATTCGCTGCCACCGCCACAACCCAGCCCAGAGCTGCTTCTCCTGCTGTGGGGCTGTGGGCTGAGCCTGTGCTGGTGAGAGCAGCCCCTGCACGGGCCCCTCAGTGTCACCCCTCAGTGCCGCAGGGCCCTGTCCCCCCTGCTCGGGTGCCCGGGACCCTGAGCTCGCCTCTCCCTGCCCTGCTCACACCCGGCTGCCGCTGCCGCGCCCCCGCTGCCCCTCGGGCGCTGCTCCGAGCTTTGGCTGCTCCGGAGCCGCGAGGAACGGATTTGTGCAGAATCTTTAAACATTGATAGAACGTTCATACGGTCTTATATATCTGTATGTAAATATTGAGATCAGGTGTGTTGACTTAGGAAAGCTATGGAACAGAGATGGTATTATCGTCTGGTTGAATTCAAAAAGGTTGTAAAATACAATAAGTTTATATAAAAGAGTATATATGTAAACAAGGGTTGAGAAAAAGAGTAGATAGTTTAGAGAATTAGAACCATGAAGGATGCTTTGTAATAGGAATATGTGAGGTAAAAATAGAGGTGATTGGTGTTAGAAGTAATATAGTAGTATTGTGTTGTAAAAGCTTATAGCTTGAACAGCATATTTAAGGTATTGTAATTAAGAAAGAAGTTAGCTTTTAAGAAAACAACGTTGAGGTTTATATTTCTTATGTTTCATTCGTTATTAAGACTAATAATAAAATATTTTAAAACACTTCTCAATTACCCCGTCTTTATAGAAACTAAAAGAAGCAACAAAACAATACTTCCACTAGAATAAAAACAAAAACTCAACGATCTTTTCAGCAGTTAAAAAATCTCAAAGTACTTTTTGTTCAGTGCTACTACAAAGAAACAAGACCCTAAAGAATTAGTTCTTCTACAAAAACCCAAAAAGCTGTCAAGACTTTTACCTACATCATGAGCTCAAGTCAAAGAGAAACCAATGTTATCTCCTATTACACAACATCAAGCAAGCTTTAAAAAACATAATCAAACACAAAATATGCAAGCAACACAAAGACATTCATAAAAGCCTGAAAGATCCTTAAAGATCTAATTCTTACAATATTTCAAAACAAAACCTAAAAAATTGCTGTCTTAAGTTGAAAGGCAGTTTCCAACTATAAATAACACTTCTGTGTTCACCTTCCCTCTGAGACCCAGTTGAACTCAAACTGTACAATACTTTTACCATAAACCAAAACCATACAACCACAAAATTATTACCTCCGTATTACACTTTAATGAACTTCTCTGAAGAACCTTCAAAGTTTTCCCCTTCCCCGCTCTTGTGCGCAGCCCCTGCGCGTCCCCAGCCGTGTCTCCGAGCCCTCCCTCCCTCCAGCCCTGCCCGGAGGCCCCGCAAGCCCGAGCGGAGCCGCGCTGCCCCCGGCGCTGCCCCGCAGCCCCCGCCGCTCTCCCGGCTCAGCCCCCGCTGCCATCCCCGGCCCGCCCGGGATCTCCCAGCCCTGCCCGGCCGGCAGCGAGGGCAGCTCTGCCCGGCTCAAGGAGCGAGGCTGCTCCGCCAGCGCTGCACAAACCCGAGCTCTGGCTGCGGGAAAGAGAGCAACGAGAGAAAAACCCGCGATTGGCAAACTCCTCCATGGGGAAATGGAGCAGGGCACGGACTCTGGGTCAGAGGAAGAGGTTAACCCGTTCCATCCCAGCCCCGTGAACACACAACGGGAACTGACTGATTGGGCTGAGATTAGACCTAAACTCGTGCAAGATAAAGATTTTAATTCACCATACAGAAAACTCCTTGCTGTGCCAGTTTGATATAAGGAAAATAATGCTAATCCTCGGTGGAAGCCTATAGCCCATTAGGATATCGAGAAGTTAAGAAAACCTTTTAATAACAACAGCTTAGACTCCCAGTATTTTAATAATGTAGTGAGAAGTAGATATGATTCTTATCACCTCACACCTTCAGACTGCTGTAATATTTAATCTCTAATTTTAACAAACTCACAATATATTCTGTGGGACTTGGAACAGTGAAAGCATCTTCACAGATCAATGGAGAGCTCTGCTAGAAGTCCTAAAGCCCAACTAACAATCAGTCAATTAGCCAGAGATCCTCCAAACCATAAAGCTGAAGACCAAACCGAATCCCTTTCTAGAGCAGGAATAAGAGACATTAGAAATGTAGCCAGAAAGAATCTTTTTATTGTACAACTGCAAGAACCCCAAAAAATGCCGATTCTCTGATTCAACAAGCCACAACTAAACCTTCTCTTGCCTTTTTAGATCTCTTGGCATGAGCAGTTCAACAGCAGTGTCCTAAGGAAACAGCACATCCTCATGGAATTAAAGCCTTGCCTTTACTGATACAAACAATAAATGTAAAAGGGTTCTTTTACCACACCAGCCACCAACAGTGCCACGAATGCTCTCAGCTTGTGGTGAGCTCAGCCCTCCACAGCACATCGTGACCATACAAGCTCCCACACTGGGGGAACAACTTACAAAGTCCAAAGAATCGCTGGGAAATAAATTCCAAAGAGTTATTGAGGCTCAGAGCAAAACTATTTTGAAGAGACCCTCACTGCTTTCCAGGTAGATCCCATTAAATAGCCATGTTTTAACTGTAAAAAAATACTCAGTCATTTTTAAAAAAGACAGTTCTGAAGCAGAGAAAAATACAAAATCACCTGATACTTACCCTCAATTTAAAAAAAAAAAAAAAAAAAAAGAAAAAAAGAGAGACATTATACCGATCCCTGTCGCTCCAAATTTAACATAACAGCAAAGCCTCTGTCGGGAGCTTCAACAAGAGCTCACAGCGCCACCGTGTCACAAAACAAAGAACGGCGGCTCCATCGCAAACAAACTTGGAGCAGACGCAATTTGTAAAATCATCAGAAATCTCCCCAGCAACCCCGACTTATTACCCACAGGGGCACGATGCAAACTAACAACTTCTGCATTAACATACCTCTAAACAAACTTTTGTCATCAATTTATGCCCACAGGAGTTACTAGTACTTCACAACAGAGAGAAGATATTATAATTCTAAGCAGAGACAAAAACATAATGCTTAGATTTTCAGTGTTCCCAACTATTATTTCAGTACACTGTAACCGAGAGCTGATAGCTTTAGCTCTTGCTTACAGCACTCCAGCAGTAATTCAACCCAAACCACTCAGAGCTATCACGGCTGCATTGCCAGGGACTGTAACTGAGCAAGACACCCATGGAGAGCCTGTGCTTTTAACTAAGCCAACTGTGCACCAAGGAACAGCCCCGAGAGCTGTAGCCCACAGCTGATGGCCTTTGGGTGGGAGGTGTCCCCAGTGAGCAGCCACAGCCCCCTGGCAGCCTGAGCCAGGGCAGGGGAACAGTGAATGTCACAGCTGTGCTGGGCACTGGCACAGAGGGCACTGCAATTCCTGCTGTGCTTCAGCCCGGCCATTGCAACCTGGCAGCGCCCATGGGGGCTCTCCCAAGAGCCAAAACAGTCACACTGAGTGTGCACAGGGAGCTCATGGGGACGGCCACCAGTGCTGAGGGTGAGCCAAGGATCACCCGGCCCCTCGTGGGGCACAAACCCATCCCAGCAGAGAAGGGAGACTCGCTGGCCCAGGACAGAACAGAAACAGAAGGGAGTTTTTAATGAGAGCCACAGCAGCACCGACCACTCCAAAGTTATCATCAAAAACTAACAACCCTGTCTAAGGGAGTCAGGAGCCGCCAGCAGGGAAAAAAACTAAATACCCTCAAAAATTAATAAATGAACAATTACCAAAGAATCATATCGAACCCAGAAATGGCCCTTAGACTTCTCCAGTGTTTGTCATACACAATAAAATGTCTGATTCCTGGAAATTACTCCAATCTCCTGCTGTTGAACGCTTCCCTAGGCACTTGCTGAGATGATAAATACCCAGGAAGTTTTCCCTTTCTTGAGATTAGAATGGTTTCTGCAAGTCCTTGAGGTGTGGGTTTGCACAGTGGGTGTTAAACCATGATGGTTAAAACCCCACTGTGCAAATGAAGGTTTTCCCCTTCTTCCCCCCACTCCATGCTCTGTCGTCTCCCTTATTTTGTCATCTCAACAACTGCTAAGGAAACCTTTCTCATCTTGTCAATTGGCAATGCAACTGCTCTTTAATTCATTTTTAAAATAGATTTTAAGTCAGGCTCTGTCCATGTCATTAATTTGACTTTTGGATGAAGTTGCTGGTGCTTAACAAGCTCTGTGCTGCTTTAAAGCCTTTCTGCAAGGCTCAAAGAATGACCCTGGCAGGGAGTGCAGGAGTGTTGTGCATTCCTTGTTTAGAAATGGAGGGCATCAAACCAGGTTCCTTTAAAAGCCATCTTGAGTCAGTGAAATTAAGGCCCTGGAATTCCTTTGGGCAATGGTCCATTTAGGATAGAGCCACAGTGCCAGGAGCTGTTTGTCTGATGGTCAGTTCATGCTCTGGTCAGTGCAGGGCAGCCCCTCAAGAAATGCATGAGCCAAAGCCAGCAAGGAGAGGAAAAGAGCCAAGCTGAGCTGAGAGAGCTGGAGAGATGAAATGGCACAGATGTGCCTGGAGCACGGCCCTCCCCAGCAGCTTTGCTTCCAGTTCAGTGTTCAAAAAGCTGAAAGCTGATGCTCAGGACTTGGGGATCTGGCTTGGAACTGCAGAGGGGATGAGCTCCCTTACTGGAACCCAGGCAGGGCAGTGCCACAAGCCTGCAGCCACATTGCTTCTCCTTTGGCTAGAATTAAATATTCTTTTAGTTATGGGGTTTTATTAAGTATTCATAGAGATGCTAGAATTGAAAGAAGAGAACAGAAATAGGCTGGAGCACCACTGGCACAGTAATTGATATTTCACTTTTCCTCTTTTCCTTATTGAAATATATGTACATAACATTAACTTTGAAACACTGTTGTTTGGGACAAACACTCTTTTTTCCCTTTCTTTGGCAGAGATATGCAAGTCCTGAGACCCTGGGCCAATGCTCCCTGCATTTTATTTATGTTTTTACAATTAAAATAGGCGCAGATAAGATTGAGAAGGAAGATACAACTCAGGAGCTCCCTGGGCAGCAGCCTCCAAACTCTTTGGGTGATGCCAAGAGCAGTAGGGTGTGAAGGCTGCTTTCCAGTGTGAGATTAATCCATAATAACTTGCTCAGTGACATCAAAGGCACTGCTTAGAAGCCACTTGTTATTTCCCGAGGTGCAAGAGCTGGAAGGTTTGACAAAGCCTGGGCAGAATGATGAAGAATATTCCTGTCAGATTTCTGCTTCTCTCCTTGTGCCAGCAAGAGGAACCCATCCTCGTTCAGGGTTTTGTTCCCGTGTGACAGTGTGTAGTTCAGAGCTAAAGCCGTGCCCAGCAGCGTTCATTATTCAATCTGCACTGCCCCCTCAGCCGTGTGAGCTCTGAGCAGGGCGCTGGGCAGTGGGGCCGAGCCAATTTCGGGCAGTCGGGCTCGGAGCTTGAAGGGTTTGGAGTCAAGAGCGGAGGCTGAGCTCCCTCTGCGGTCAGAGCGGGGAGACACCTTCCTGTGCAGGGAACGCTTTCCCAGCCGGGTTTGCTCTCCTGACAGCTCCAGTCTCGCCTCTGCAAGAGCAGAGCACGCTGTGCCCCCAGGGCTTTGCCGCTGGCAGCACTGGGAGAGATCCTGGGAACAGTTAACATTACTCAGATCTAACTGTGCCTAATCTTACCAACACTAAAATCGTATTCAAATAAAACAGAACCGAACTAACAATCAATATTCTTAGAAGTTCTGAGTACTACAAAATGTGACTTATTCTGATGCTATTACTACCAAAACGCACTGAAAATGAAATAAGAATGGTTGCAATAACGGCCTGATGGATTTACTGGAGGGATTAGAAAAGTGTGACAAATACTTTGACCCTATGTAATTTAACATTGAGAAAAACTCATGGTAGCCACAAATTTTATGGAATCATAAATTTACTAAGACCTTATAAAGTGCAATTGCACTGAAAGAAACAGCAATGTAGAATTTGGCAAAGTGTGCAAAAAACCGGGAGCTTCTCCAGATAGTATTTAGTGTAATAGCATATCACCATTCTGTTAAAGAAATTCGATTCTGTTGTGCTGCACATGATAAAAATAATGAGGCACTGGATTTACCACTTTGAATCTCTCCAGTAACAATTCTCAGAGAAATCAGAGTTCACGAAAAACACAAGATTAACTTTAAAGCAGCATTTCAGCACATGATTACGGCATTCTAGGACACGTTCCGTGAGGCTTCAGTGCCCAGGGGCAGTCAGAGCCCTTGGGCAAATGCCGGGGGTTCGCCCCGCCGCAGGGCTGGGGAGCCACGGGGGGCAGTGAGTTGGCCCGGGGCCAAGCGGAGCCGCCGGGCAAAGCCGAGCCCCGGGAGCGGGGAAAGCGGCGGCGGCAGCGAGGGCAAAGCCGAGCGGGGAGAGCCGAGCTGGGACCCGCCCGGGGCTCGGAGGCGGCTCCAGCCCAGGTGAGACCCGCGCTCGGTTGTGCCTCGCCGCGGGCGGAGGGGGCTGCGGCGGGGGGCGGTCGGGGGTACTGGTGAATTCCTTGTGCCGGGTCCTCCCCTCGACAGGTGAGGAAAATGGAATTCACTGCTTAGTGTTTTTGAAAGGTCATTAATAGTAATGGTCATAATAGTAATGGGATATAAAAGGGAATAATACTTAGAGCACTGGGTGCTCCTGGTCAACAGTGAAAGAACACACCGGGGTAAACAGACAATGTTCTATTTATTCTGTTACCTCGCTGAAGTACAAATATTTAATGGTATTTAATGTATTATTGAGAACTTTTTTTGAACTTTCTGATATTTTCATATCTTCTTTCTCTGCCTTCTTCACACTCTTATCTGCATGACATCCTGAGTGTCCCATCCATATATTTTATTTCTTCTTGTGTCTCCATCCAGCTGTTTCACATCCTCTGGATAAGATTTTAGTATGTTCTCTTTAATTTTAACATAGTAGTCTCTAATTGTTCTCTGGTGCTCTGGTTTCTGTCACCGTTATTTTATCTCTTGGACAGGTTGGTCAGTGGATGGCCTTACACTGTTTTTAGTCACAAAAAAGTCTTTTTCCCATTGTTTTCCTCAGGTCTATAACACAGTACATTCATCACACTATCATTTCCATAGGTGATACATAGACACTATATTCATAACATTATCATTTCTATGGGCAATATGGTGTCTACTTAAGATGATAGATTATATTATACTAACATGAAGCTAAAAAGAGTTAGAATCGATACTATATCTAAATCATTATACTCACTAACAACGTGCATAGGCTCATACAAAAATGCAAAAGCCAAAATTACCTGGTCATTTTTCCCACAGGCAGGGAGCCGCAGCGGCCGTGGCGGCGCTCGCTGTGCCCGGGCTCCGAGGCGCCGGGGCAGGGAATCATGCGGGGCACAACGGTGAGCAGCCCGGGGCTGCTGCTTCTCGCCCCTCGGCAGGCGGACTCCGAGCCGCAGCTGCCCCGGGCCAGCAGCAGCCGGCAGCTCGCAGGCGCTCTCGGCGCCCGGCCCGGCACGGAGCTGGGCTGCAGCGGCTGCAGAGCCACAGGGGCCGCGGCTGCGGCCGCCGCAGAGCTCCCGCAGGCTGCGCTTGTCTCCGCACCTGCTGCCGCACCTCTGGGCAGCGGCGACAGCGCAGCCACAGCTGCCACCGCCCTCCTGAGCCCCCGCACGGCCGGCACCAGCAGCGACCTCTCACCGTGTCCCTTTCAGGGTGCCATCAGCGCGGCTGCAAAGCTGTTCTCGAGGCCGAGCTCCCAAAGGATCTGCCAGCAGCACTCCTGATGTCTCCAAAGCAAGGTACTGTTTCTTCTGTCTAGAGAGATGGCGCCTGTGAGCAGAAGAGTGAACTCCTCTCCATGGGTGGCGTTGCCAATGAGTCCCGGCATCTCTAGGAGGGAACAGCAGCTGCGCTTTCAGACTTGCCTGGGGCCCAAGAAGCCTCTTGGCATAAGCAGGGGGATGCCACTTGTGAGTGTGCAGTGAGTGCAGATGTGGAGAATGGATTCTGCACCAGGGATGGGAGTGTGAGGGAGCCCCTGGCTCCCCAGGACACAGCAGCAACCAACAATGAACACAAAAGGAGCCTCAGAAGATTCCTGGGTGAATGCAGAGCCACCTCTGTGGGCTCTAGGCAGGGGCCCGTGTCCCCTCCCAAGGCCAGGGCTGGCAGGTGTGTGGCTGTTTGCCGATGTCTGGAAGAGGCCTCGTGCTCTGCTGGGCCCCATGCGTGGCTGGAAGCAAGAGCCCCAGCTGCCCCCAAGGCTGTGCAGTTCTCCTGCTGCAGCCTGTGGCCACAGCTGTGTCCCTGCCTGTGCCCACAGCTGTGTCCCTGCCTGTGGCCAGGCTCTTGGCTCTCTGGCTGCCAGCTGAGGGAGGCCCACACTGCCTCAGGGCTCCCTGCTCTGCTCCCTGGCCGTGGGCTGAGCAGATTGCAGGGCCGGCTCTGCTTCTGGCAGCCAGCAGCTCTTTCCTGCTCCAGGTGAATGGTTCAGGTGCCATCCCGTGTGCACGGCGGTGCTGATTCTGCTGCTCCTGGTGCTGGTGCTGGCTTTGGGGGCGGCCTTGGCTGTGCTGGCAGGTAAGGGAGGGGCAGCAGCGTGGGCCCAGCCCCTCGGGGCAGAGCGGGCTCCCTGCTCCCTGCTCAGGGGAATCCTCAGAGCTTCTCCTCTTCCCCCTGCAGCACCACAGCTTCCAGTCACACCTGCGACTCCGCTGTTGGTTCTGTGCTGTCCCCATGGCTGGGTGGGCTACAATGGGGTCTGCTACTACTTCTCACGGGATTTCAGCAGGTGGGAGCAGGGTCAGGAACGGTGCTCCGAGCTCGGGGCCTCCCTGGCCATTGCCCAGGATGAGGAGGCCATGGTGAGTGAGGGGCTGCGGGCGGGGTGGGGTGGCTGAGGGCAGCCTGGGGGCGCTCGTGGGCCGGGCTCGGTGCTCGCAGGGCCGGGGCTGCAGCCCTGGGCCGGGGCCTTGCAGGGAAGGAGCCCCGGCGTGCGGGGGCAGCCCCGGGCCCGTGTCCCCCCGAGGGGCCGGGGCAGCTCCCACTCCTCTCTCCTGGGCAGGATTTGCTCTTCCGCTTCTGCCACAATGTCGGTTACTGGCTCGGGCTGCGCAGACGGGGCGAGCGCCTGCACTGGGGGGACGGCAGCAGCTACAGCTCCCGGTGAGTGCCGGGGAGCCGGGCAGGGCCTGCGGGCACAGGGGCACAAGGGCTTCCCCTGGCAGCCAGCGCTGCCTCTGCTCCTCCCTGCAGGGTTCCTGTCCTCGGCAATTCCGAGTGTGTGTACCTGGCTGACAGGAGATTGATGGGTGACAACTGCTCCAACGAGCGGCCGTATGTCTGCAGCAAGGCCCAAGCTGCCCTGTGACAGGGGCTGCACAAAGGACCTTCTCCACGCTGGGCAGTGCCAGCTTCACCTCTGAGCCCAGCACAGCGCTGTCCTTCCTCAGCTGCGCCCTGTGCCTTGCACTTCCTCTCAGGGTCACCTCAGTGCCTCTGCATCCCCAGTGCCAGCGCTGGGCTGGGGCTGTAAAGGAAAAGTCTCTGCAATCCATCCTGCCACCGATGCTGCCTGCTGTGAGTGCATTGCCCTCATTATATGTGGGATACTGTTTTTAAGAAATTGTTCTTTATCAATTACAAAGTTATTATTGTATAAATTCTTGCATGTGGCTGGCCTCATGTAATTTTGAAGTCTGTTTTAGGTGACAGATGTATCTCCACTGGACTAAATATATGTACACTGGTACATGTCTGTTTTACTTTTCTCTTGGTGTAATGTAATATTATATATCTTGTTTTAAAGCTTTAATGTACATATGTTCTCTTAAGTTTTGTGTTTAATTTAATTTTAGGTTATGACAAAATTGTTAAATACAAACTATGCTATGTAAGGTTCTTTTTTTAAAGAAAGGACTTTCACTGAGATAGCAGCCACAGGACATCTCAATCTTTCAGAGAAAAAGAATTCATTGTTCATTATGAACTTCTTGCTGTCTCGAAGGCACTGTCAGGATTCAGTGGAAGAAGCTGAAGATGACCAGAGGGAATCCTGTGTTTGAATGGAATTTATGCATCATGTATGAGTTGTATGACTATGCTACAGGCTATTGTTTTTAAGGGTTAATCCTTTGTTAACAGGTGTCCTTTTTCAGACTCGTGCTGCCCAGAAAAAGGTACCCAGTCATGCCTGAGTCTTTGTGTTTGTCATGTCATATTGTTCTAATTCAAGTTGTCCAAATTGTTATTACTGTAATTGTATTACTGTTTTTATAACCATGTTATCACGATTAAACTTTTAAAAGTTTTAAAAACAAGTGATTTTTCACAAATACTGACTTGCAAAACAAAAGTTAGTACATAAATGCAAAAGCCAATACCTATATTTGTTATTTCTAACATTGTACAACAAGCTCAAATGGGAAATCCAAATCACCCTGGGCTCCCAGAAATCATCACAAACTGTCCTGAAGGTGACACTTCTGGACTGTCCTTGGAAGATGTAAGAAACAACCCTCACTTTTAAGATCTTAAAGGTTTTTTTAACCTTAAAAAAAATACAACAGACTAAATATGGAAAAATTAAGGCTCTGGGGGTGCTTTGGAACACAAGCAGCCCTGTGCTCGTTTACAAAATGGATGCTCTGCCTTTTATACCCTCAGCCCCTCCCAGAGTTTTGTCAGTCAGCTCCTTCTCTGCCCTCCACAGGTGGAGATCACTTCCTCACACCTTGACTGGAGCTCAGCTGTTGTCTTGTGGCCCCTCCTGGTAATGAGCCGGCCCTCCCCAAATGCCCTGGGAACTGAGGCTGCTGCAAGGGGGAGGGAAAGGGGACTGTGGGGAGACACATAACAGTAGCAGCACTAATCATCTACCAAACTTCTCTTAATGTACGTGTAATATCTGTCTCTTAATTGTGAGACCCAACACCTACATCATTCATCTATAACAAAGCACACTTTTCCATTCCTATGAGCTTTGAGCTCAAACAATTAACTCTCATTTTCAACTGAGATAATCAACTCTTCACAAGAAAAAAAAATTAATGACTTATACTTGTATTTGTTGATGTGGGCAAGGAGAGTGGGAACAGAAGGAAAAAAATCTCAGCTTTTCTTTGCCACACTTATTTGGAATGGACAAAATGAGATCATGAAGGTCTGATGTGCCTTTTTTACTCCCATCTACCGTGCCCATGTCGCTGCTACTCATAGCAGATGGATCTTAGTGGGGAGTACAGAGCCCAACTCAGTCTTGCCTTCTGATTCCTGTTGTATTAAAAGACAGTTGAGCAGTGACAGAGGCCTGGGGTGCCTTTCTTGCCCCTACCTTGCCATGCCTATGGGATTGCTGCCCACAGCAGAGCTATGGAATCTTCTCGGTGTTGAACACAGGGGCCAACCTGGTCTTGCCCTCTATTTCTTGTTTCACTCTGCTTGTTGGTCCTTAGGGAACTGCCCCAATACCACTTATGGTTCCCTGTGTACTTCCCCTCAACAGATGCTTGTGATTTTCATCTATTAAACAGGACAATTACATCAATAAATTATAAAGTTCAAACTCCCTGCCCAAAGTGTTAGTTAAACAATCTTCAAGCTGGTGGAAGCTTGACTCCACTTTTCAGACATCTTCAGTCTTTGGTTCTCTCTCACCTGCTCTGCATGTTACAGTCTATTCTTTGGGTTCTCTCACCAGCCTTTAATTCTGTTGCTGTGAGTCCCTCTCGCTCTGGGGTTGGCACAGCCCATCCAGGTCACAGGTAGAAGGATCCTTCCAAGCCAAAAGGATTTCTGAGGCAGTCCCAGCCTGCAGCCCCTGGGTGCCTTCAGACCATCCATCCAAAAGGAAAAGTGACTTCTGGACCCCGAGAGAGCCCAGTGATCTTAAAGTCCACCCTTCAGGCAATTTTACTTTCTGTAGGAAGGATGTAGAAAATGACAGAAACTTCATGGTGAATTTCTCCCCGGCAACTGCGATTTGTGACCAAATTAGGAACCAGGAGAAAACTCTTTCCTCTCATGGACATGTCTCCATAACATTACCAAGAGGGACTTCTCTCCCTAAATGAACTGAAGAAAGACTATTTTAGAGGTAGTAAACTAAGAGGAAATTTTTGGTTTTGTTTCTTTACATTGTCAGTGTAAAAGAAAATGTTGTGGGAGGAGGAGAAGTTTTAGAAATGTTTTAAAAGGTTTGCTTTAATTCTTCCAACTTTTTTTTCTTTTAGTTACTATTTATAACATTTTCTTTATACTCTTTTAAAGTTTTAAGCCTGCTTTAACTTTGTCCTAACCCTATCTCACAGCAGCAGGCAATGAGTGCACTAGTGATTGATCAACACCAAAACCACTACACGGTGCACTGTAAGACTTGGATTTTTCAGGGAGAGGAGGGAGGAGCAAAGCTTAGCAAAGCTTTGCCAACTTTGTGTCCTCTCACAGAGAATAAAACAAAAGTGACTACACTGTTATGAATGAGGTCCCTATATGTCTAATTTAATAAACCACAAAATTAGAATTTAGCACCAGCTTTAATTGAGCAGAGATTTTATATAAAATTATACAATCAAATATAATCAAGCAGATATAAAATAATTTGGCAGTGGTTCAGATAAAGTATAAGCAAAACCAATTGATCAGGGTACAGGGAGGGTTTTTCTCACCCTGCCTCACGTACAAGAGGCAAAAGGATCCAAACACAACTTATATACTGTATGCTAACACATACTCATAAATAATTTCCTGTAAATCCTCTCCTCCTTTTGGTTATTGAAATCTGTGTCACTGCACTGCACAGTGCATGCTCCACCTGTTGCTGAGGGGTCTTTTGGCCTTTCGGGGGTTGTTTCTGATGAAGGCTTCTCCTCATCCTCACTGTCCTTTGAACAGCCCCACAGGTTGCACATGCACCCCAAGTGTTGTGTTATAGAAGCCAGCCTTATATTCCAAAAATGAGCCTTATTACTTCATAGATACCTGGAATCATCCCAATTTTGTCCATCCCGAGACCAATTTTGCTTTGGGAGTTGTCCCAGTTTTGTTCCTCACAAGGCCGATTCTGTTTTAGAATATTGCTTATCTCAATACTCCATCCTCTATTGTATTTTTCCATGAACATCTGAGAACATCTGTTTCATGACACTAATAACATTCTTCTTCCTCTGTTACTTTTTAACAAATATTTTCTAAAATGTCAATATAGCTATAATTGTTAACATGAATCATATTCATTTAGCACAATTTCTCCCATTTTCTCTTTTGATCATATTGATTCATTCTTTCTATTAAAAGACTGAATCTCAGTATCTCCTATATCCCTAAAAATCCAGGTTTTCACATTCCCTCATTTCTCTTTTTGATTAAATTTAATATGTGGTATTTTCACTTACAGGATATAAAAAATGGTGTAGGCAACAGTTCCAATAATGAGTCCAGCTAGTATAAACCACCAGATTTCCCCAAAGGGGTTCCAACTTTTAACAGGTACAATTAGCTTATTTTGATCAACTTGATCAACACTTTTCCATTGGTTTTTGGTTTTAGACAGCATTTAGATGTGTTATGTTTTTCACAAACTCCTCCTTTCTCAGCCATTAGATAGTCCAAGGCCAATCTGCTATGATAGACTGTTACTGGCAGGTGCATGCTTTGTTGGGTAGCTGTTTTGTTCAAACTGACCTCAATTATCTTTTGCAGTTTTATCAAGCAATTTAATGTACAGTTTGGAGTTCTCTATTCCCCAGATCTGTTTTGAGCCCAAACAGCTGGATCATAAATGTTTATGATCCTTTCTGAGTGCCATTCATTTTCACTCCATTTATAGCTGCCCCTAATCAAAAGGTTTAGGTTTGCCTTGTTTTTGCCCATGGCTTTATCAAGTGGGGCTTTCTCCAGTGGATTTCCCTTGGACCAGGGCAGGGTGCAGGAGAAGGGTTGGATAACTCCTAACCTACAGGTCCCTTTCCATCTCTGGGGTAACTGACTGCACGCTCACTGTCCACAAATCCAATATAGCCCGTCAGGGGCCTTCCATGTTCTACTTATATTGTCTGGTTGATTCCAATAGGGATCTGTATTTTCTATGGAATGGTAAGGGCCAGCTACAGAACTATTATACCAGCACAGATTAATTTGACTGTCCCAGTTGCAATCATTTCTCTTTGTTGTTCTCCAATACCCATTGGTTTTGTTTGGCCACGAGGTCATCATTCTATTATCTGAATTTACAATTAAGGTAGATTCACAGGGGGCATGTCCCACCCCTTTGGTATAGTTCTTTCCTTCTCAAGTTACACAAACTGCTCCAATTACCTGGTGACTTAAAGTCCACCCTTCAGGCAATTTTACTTTCTCAGAAATTTGGGTGCATTTCCCTTTTTAAAAGTGTTCTGGAGCTAGACCTTCACCCCTCCACAACCATCTTTCAGCCATTTGAGTTTCCTCAGAAATCCAACCTTGATAAATCCAACTCGGTTGTGATT